CGTCTTGAGCGCGCCTTGGGCCGTCCTGGGCCCGCCTGGGGCCGTGTTGGCACCCTCGCGGCGAGGAAGCTCGGAGGCGGGCTCGAGGCCTCTTTGGGGCCATTTGGGAAGCTGTTGGGGCCCTCTGTTGGGGCCTCGTTTGGGCTCCTTGGGAGCCTCCTGGGGCCTCTTCGGGGGATTCTTGGCGGCCCCTTGGGGCCTCTTGGGGGCATGTTTGGGCCTCCTGGCGCCCTCTTGGGGCGGAAGGCTCGGATTTTCGGTCCTTGGTCCCCCTCTTGGCCCCCTCTTGGGCCTGTCTTCGGGCCCTCGTAGGCCGTCTTGAGCGTCTCTTGGGTCGTCTTGGGGCCCTCTTGGGCTGTCTTGGGGCGCTCTTGGAGGCCTCTTGGGCCGTTCTGGGGCGCTCTTGGAGGCCTCTTGGGCCGTCTTCGAGCGTTGGAAAGCGGAAAAGGCGAGAAGGCCAAAATCCTTCCAAAACCGTCGTAAAGTGGATGATTTTGGCCGCTCGGGGCCCTCGTAGAATACGCTTGCAGGCCTCTTGTGCCGTCTGGGCGGCCTCTTGGAGCGCTCTTTGGGTCGGCGCAGATTAGCGACGGCAGGTCACGGTGTGACAGAGCCGCCTGCACTTCAGCGCTCTTTGGGCGTCTCGGGGGCTCCTTGAGCTGTCTTGGGGGCCTCTTGGGGCCTCCGGAGCCTTTCCGGAGCCGCCCGGGGCGTCTTGAAACCGCGCCGCCCGGGGCCGGGGCGTCGGAGGAGCTCCCCGACCCCCGCCCCTCTCGGACGCGCGTATGAAATGTAGTAGAGACTGGGGCTGACCCGTGGACTCCGTCCACGACATCTTTCAGGAATGGTTCTCGGAGGAACGGCGAATATGTTGCCGAAAACCTATAAGCACGGCGGCGGCGGGGGTGGCGGCAACGAGACCGCGCTTTCGTGTGGCCTGTATGGCCGCCGTGGGCACCGTGGGCACGAGGAAAACGTATATGTTCAAATTGTGCGGTTTCCCACGCTTTGGGGCGACTTTTGCTTCTGGGAGCCCTCTTGGACGTCTCTTAGAGGGGCTCGGAGGCCTCCTTTGACCTCTTGGGGGGGGGGCTCTTGGGGCCGTCTTGGGCGCCTCTTGGGCCGTCTTAGGCCGTTTAGGGCGGTCTTGGGCGCCTGTAGGGCTGCCTCGGGCCCGTCCTCTTCTAGCCCTCTTGGGCTGTCCTGGGCGCCTCTTGGGCTGTCCTGGGGCCGCCCGGGACCGTTCTGGGGCCCCCTGGAGGCCCTCTTGGGGCGATCTTGGGGGCCTGTATGGCCGTCGTGAGCGCCGTGGACACGAGGAAAGCGAATATGTTAAAATTGTGCGGTTTCCCAAGGTTTGGGGCGAATCACTCTTGGATGTCTCTTGGAAGTGCTTGGAAGCCTCCTTTGGGCCTCTTGGAGATCTCTTGGGGCCGTCTTGGGCGCCTCGTGGACCGTCTTAGGCCCTTTATGTAGGGCGGTCTTGGTCGCCTCTGGGGCTGCCTCGGGCCCGTCTTGCGCCGCTCTTCGAGCCCTCTTGAGCTGCCCTGGGCGCCTGTTGGGCTGTCCTGGGGCCGCCTTGAACCGTCCTGGGGCCCCTGGAAGCCCTCTTAGGGCGTCTTGGGGCGATCTATGTTAAAATTGTGCATCTTCCCTCGGGATTGGGACGAATTTTGCTTCTGAGCTCTCTTGGACGTCTCTTGGAGGGACTTGGAGGCCTCCTTTGGGCCTCTTGGGTCCGTCTTGGGCGCCTCTTGGGCCGTGTCAAGCTGTTTAGGATGGTCTTGGGCGCATCTAGGGCTGTCTCGGGCCCGTCTTGGGCCGCTCTTCGAGCCCTCTTGGGCTGCCCTGGGCGCCTCTTGGGCTGTCCTGGGGCTGCCTGGGACCGTTCTGGGGCTCCCTGGAGGCCATCTTGGGGCGTCTTGGGGCGATCTTGGGGGCCTGTATGGCCGTGATGGACGCGTTGCGGACGCACAGCGCGAGAATTGCAAAAATGCAAGTTTTCCCTAGGGATTGGGACGATTTTCCTTGTTCGAGCTCTCTTGGGCCGTCGGGAGGCCATATTGGACGCCTTGGAGCGCTCTTGGACCTTTTCGGAGGCCCTCTTGGGCCGTCTGGGGCCGTCTTGGGGCCCTCGTGAAATCCTCCAGGGGCGTCTCGGAGCGCTCTTGGGCCATCTTGGAGCGTCTCGGAGCGCGCCGGGGCCTGCTGGGGCTCGCAGGGGCCTGCTACGCCATTTTGGTCCGAATCGCCTTCCTCGCACGCGCGGGGCCCAGTATAGATGACTGGGGTGAATCCGTGGACTACGTCCACGGACTCTCTTTTGAGTCGGAGTAGGATGGCGGAGGTGATGCCACTTCTCCCCGAGGCCCCTTGGGGCCAGCTGAAGAAACCTGGGGGATCTGGAGCCCACATTGGGGACATCGAACAACAAACCGACAACGGCGACGGTGAGAGAGGGAGCCTCGGCCAACGGAGCATGGACGAAATCCGCGGGCTCCGGTGGAGCCACGCCCGGAGCAAGAAGACTCCAGAAATCTCCAGGAGGGGCCCGAAAGGCTCGAAGGGGGGGCCTCGAAGAGAGCCCGTAGATTTGTCACATGGTCTGCGAAAGCAGTGCAGAAGACAACAGCCCGAAGTGGCAAATCTGTTGGTTCTCCGAAGGTTGCCCTCTCGGGGCTCGAAGAGGGCTTCCGTGGGCGCTCTTGAAGAGGCCTGCTGGGCTCCAAGAGGAGCCCAAGCGGACCACGAGGAGAACCCTCAGACTCGTCATTCGGGGCGCGCGAAAAAATGGAAAACTGCGACCCCTAGTGACAGACTGCGGGCACTGTTGGGGAGCAACATTTGAGTTTTCTTGGGGCTCACAGAGGGCTCCCGAAAGCGCTCTGGGGACCTTCGAAGGCGCGCTGGAGGCCTCCCTAGGTCCCAGGCGGGCGTGTGGCGGAGCGTTCAGTGGGGCCTGTGAGCCCATGGTTGCTGTTTGGGGGGGGGCTGGGAGCAGTTGGGGAGCGCATTGCGGTCAACATGGGGCGGATCCAGGCCGTCTCGGAACCGCCTCGACGCCATCTGGAGCCGTACTTATGCCTCTTCTTCCGCGTGGGGGGCTCTCTTGGGCCGTCTGGGGGCCCTCTCTTGGGGGTCTCCTGGGTGATCTGGCAGGCCTCCGGGGCCGTCGCTCTTGGGGCTCTAAGCCGTCTCGGAGCGTCCTGCGGACACGATGGGGCCAGCCAGGCCAGAGAAAGCTCGCAGAGGTCTCCTACGGGCGGTCTTGGGCCCTGCCAGTGTCGTGCCTCATGTATGCTGAGGAGCCTGCATTGTCCCGCGTGTGACTGCTGCTGCTTGTTGCTGATGTTTACTTGCTGCTGCGTTTGCGATTGCTCGGCTACTGCCGCTGGCTGCGACTGCGCTCTGCCTGCGGCCGCTGCCCGCTGCGACCGCGCGCTGGCTCTGTCTGCTGCTGCTGCGTGCTGGCTCTGCTTGCTGCCGGTGGCGGCAAGTGGCTGCTGCCGCTGCTGCTGGAGGGCCTCGGGACACGCTTAGAATCGCTTGGGGCATCCCGAGCTCTGGCGGTCTGAGGGCTGCCGTCCGCGCACGGGCACGCGCACGCGTGGCCCATTAGTGTTGCGGCGGACGCGGCACTGCGCATCCTGGAGGACAAGCTCGGCCACGACACAGCTGGGCGGGCACAGTGCACCAGCATGTAACAAAGCATCTGGGAGGTCAAGCTTGTTTGCAGCACGCGACAGGTGCAAAGCCGCACGGCAGAACACAGGGCGCCGCAGCATATGCACGGACCCGCGGCTTGCTGCGTCTGGCTGCCGGCGCGTTGCTGATGTTTGCTGCTGCCTGCTGTGACTGCTGTTGCAAAAAGCGCTGCTTGCTGGTGCCTGCTGCTCATCGTGGCTGGCTGCGGCGTCTTGCTGCTGCTTGCGACTACTAGCTGTCGCTTGATGTTACTTCACACTGATTATGCTACTTGCTGCTGCTTGCTCCTGCCTGCTGCGGCCTGTTGCTTGTGGTTGCTGCTGTTCGACTGTCGATTGCGGGCTGTTGGTTGCCGCTGCGCATTGCTGCTTGCTACTTGTGACGAGTGCTGCGGATTGAGGATTGGTGCTGCCTAGCGGGTTGGTGCTGCTGAGTGTTGCTGACGCTTGCTGCTGCTGCCTGCTGCTGCCTGCTGCTGCTGCTGCTGCTGCTGCTGCTGCTGTTGCTGCTGCTGCTTGTGCTGCTACTGCTGCTGCTGCTGCTGGAGCTGCTGTTGCTGCTGCTGCTGCTGCTGCTGCTGCTGCTGCTGCTGCTGCTTGTGCTGCTGCTGCTGCTGCTGCTGCTGCTGCTGCTGCTGCTGCTGCTGCTGCTGCTTGTGCTGCTGCTAGAAGGTCTCGAACCTATTGGGGCTTTTTTTGGCCGCCTCGGGCAGCTTTTGGACCGCCTCGGCCAGGGTCCTGCGGCCTTCTCTGGGACTATTTCTGGGAGTGTGTTGAGGCCCTCGTGGGCTGCATTGGAAGCATATTCGGGCCTTCTGGAGCCGTTCAGGGTCCGGCTCTCGGGAAACGCTCTTCCGCTGCCTGAGCGCCCTCTGTGTACCATCCTGGGCTTGTCGGAGCGCTCCTGGGCCGCCTTGGGCCCCGAGGAAAGCGTATAGGGGCCCTCTTGGGGCCCTCTTCGGGCGCTCTTGAGGAAGCCTTGGACGTCTCTCCAAGCACTCCGAAGCCCAGTGAAGCTGTCACGGAACTGTCTTACGCGTAGAAGCCTTGAGAGCAGAACGTATCGAGAAACGCTCATGCTTTTTGCGGGGTCTTCGCTGTCTCCGACCTCTCGTTGGAACCTCTGCGGGTTAGGCGGCTGTCGGACGCCTTGTAGAGCGTCTCGTCGGATGCCTTAGGAGGCCTCTGGGACCGTCTCTGGGAGCACCCAAAGGCTTTCTGAAGCCGTTGTCGGAAGGCGTCAGAGGGGCCCAGAGGAATGACTCGGTGCGGGGCCGTTCCGAACATTGCAGAGACGATGACTGTGGGCTCCAGGTTTGCTTCCAACATCGCGCCGAACAGCGACAAGGCACGCTGCCACTGCTCGCATTTCCCACACGCGCTGATCCCAGCGTTGCAGCTGATGACGTTGGGTTCCAGCTTCGCTTCCCTAATCTCCTTGAGCAGCGACAGGGCCTGCTGCCATTGCTTCCCTTTCTCGCACGCGCCAATTCCAGCGCCATATGCGATGACGTTGGCTTCCATCGCTGTGTCGACCAACTCGCTGAGAAGAGACAGTGCCCGTTGCCACTGCCTGCCTTTGCCGAGCACGCTGATCGTTGCAACAGTATGGTACGGTTCCTTCGCACAGGAGGGGGAAGCGTCGCGGAACAGTGGGAGCGCCCTGCTCCCGTGCGCTGCACTCCCCCGCATATGTCAGACCGCATCGAGGGAAGAGAAAACTGGGCGAGGACTTCGCGGGGTGCCTGGTGTTGTGGAAGCTCATGAAAGAACATCCTGGCAGCGCGATGACGACCTGACCCCAAATCGCTCGAGCCAACATTTTTACAGCATGCTTGGTGAAGCAGCCCGCCGTCTCCTCCTCTTTCTCCTCCCCCTCCTCCTCCTCCTCCTCCTCCTCCTCCTCCTCCTCCTGCTCGTCGTCCTCTTTCTCCTCATGCTCCTCCTTCTCCTTCTACTGCCCCATTGGCATTCAAGAACAGCGTTGGCTCCGTCAGTAGAGTGCTAGTGTCGCATGTGAGCAGATCTGCAACACAGCAATGGCAAAGAGCACGCAAGAAACTGGAACGGGGATGAGGGGGAGGAGGAGAGACGGGGAGGAAAGAGAAGAACGACAGAGAGAGGACGACGGAGGCTGGAGGAGAAAGGAGAGAGGAAGGGGAGGAAAGGAGTAGAATCGGGAGCGGCCAGAGGGGGGTGTTCAAGAGGGGGGGATGCAAATCATGACCGGCGGCATGTGCGCGGCCCAGCGGGGGGGCCAGGGACGTAACGAAATAAGAAGAGGCGCCACGAGATCTGGGGGAATATCATGGCCCCCGCCATGATATCCATCCCCCCTAGTCATCACCCCCCTCTTTGCCGCCCCCGATAGAAGAGAGGAAGAAGCGGGGCACGCGGGAAGGGGGAGGGAGTAAGTGGGAGGAAGAGGAAAGAGAGACGAGGGAGGAGGGAAGAGGGAGGGAGAGGCAGGACACAGGAAGAAGGGCTATCTTTTCACGTCCCCAACCAACGACGCTGCGACGGACGCAGATGAGGAACGACACGAACTCCATGAGCATGGCGGACCCCTTGCAAAAAAGTGTGGATCCGATCGCCGAGCCAGCCAGCAAGCCCACGAACCAGCCCTTCAGTCAACCAGCTAATCGCCGGCGAGCGAGGGGGGAAGTGAGAAGGAGAAGACCTTCTCAGAAGGCGGCGGGACGTCTCAGAAGCCCTCGCGCCTTCTGAGAAATTGTTTCGTCTTCGGGGAAGGCTCAGGAAACATCCCAGAAGGCCGGGAAACTTCCGAACAGTCTGAGAGGACCTTCTCCTTCTCACTTCCCCCCCTCGCTCGCCGCCGAGCTAACCAGCCAACGTGCGAGCAAGCCGAGATGCCGGTATGCCAACCCATCGGCCAATGAGCCAATGAACCCCATCGAACCGGCCATGCAGGCAATCCGAGGGGGGCGCCGCAGGCCGAGGGCGAATCCCTTCACATATATACATACATGCGTATATACATACATACAGGCGGGCAGGCAGGCAGAGAGACAGACACATATACACACACACACACACACACACACGCACACACACACACACACACACGCGTACAGACATACACACATACACGCACACATAAATACATACATACATACATACATACATACATACAGACAGACAGACAGACAGACAGACAGACATACATACATACATGCATGCATGCATGCATGCATGCATGCATACATGCATACATGAATACATGCATACATGCATACATGCATACATGCATACATGCATACATGCATGCATGCATGCATACATACATACATAGATACATGCATACATGTATGCATACATGCATACATACATACATGCATCCGTATATACATATATACATACATGCATGCATGCATACATACATACATACATACATAAACACATGCATGCATGCATGCATGCATGCATGCATACATACATACATACGCACGTACATACATGCATACATACATGCATGCATACATGTATGTATGCATGCATACATACACACATACACACATAAACACATACACCCGTACACACATACACACCTACACATATACACACATACACACATACACAAATACACACATACACACATACACACATACACATACACATGCATGCACATACTTACATCCGTACATACATACATACATACATACGTGCATGCATACAAGCATACATACATGCATACATACAGACAAACATACATACACACATACATACGTACACATACATGCATATATACATACATGCATGCATGCATGCATGCATACATGCATACAGGCATACATATATGCATGTGTCCATGTAAATATATACATATATGTACATACATACATACATACATACATATATATATATATATTGCATACCTAATGGTATACATATAGATATAGATATATATATATATATGTGTGTGGGGCAGGCGGGGGGTGAGCGATAGCTCATCGAATTTAGGAGAAATGTATTTCCCTCTTCAATCGGCCAAAGCTGTTGACAGAGCTTAAACTCCCATGGGCACCTATATTCATATTTACAGAGGCCTCTGCACGGAGCTCGAAAGGTCTACTCTCTTTTGCACGGACCGACCCCCCACGCCAGAGCACAGACCGCACCCCGAGGCCAGAGCTGGATTCGCAGACCACCATCCGCAGACTGGGGTCGGCCACCATCACGGGAGACTGGGGCCAGAACGCTCCACGGCCTCGGGGGCCAGGGGAGGCTCGACGGCCTTGGGGGGGCCCAGCAAAGAGAAACCCCTGAGAGCCCAGCAGGACCGTGCCCAAGAAGCTCGAGCTCTCGCGAGACTCATGATGCATTCACCACTTAGGGTGGTATGTGGGTGGGCCAGAACAGCTGCCATGCAAGCGAATGCGGCCGATGTGACACGCTACCCCCCTGACGCCCACACATCTACCGTAAACGTTTACATGTGTGGGGCAGGCGGGGGGTGAGCGATAGCTCATCGAATTAAGGAGAAATGTTTTTCCCTCTTCAATCGGCCAAAGCTGTTGACAGAGCTTAAACTCCCATGGGCACCTATATTCATATTTACAGAGGCCTCTGCACGGAGCTCGAAAGGTCTACTCTCTTTTGCACGGACCGACCCCCCACGCCAGAGCACAGACCGCACCCCGAGGCCAGAGCTGGATTCGCAGACCACCATCCGCAAACTGGGGTCGGCCACCATCACGGGAGACTGGGGCCAGAACGCTCCACGGCCTCGGGGGCCAGGGGAGGCTCGACGGCCTCGGGGGGGCCCAGCAAAGAGAACCCCCTGAGAGCCCAGCAGGACCGTGCCCAAGAAGCTCGCCAACTCTCGAAAAAGACACCAAGCTCTCCATTCAGTGTTTTCCTCTGGCCGTAGGCCGAAGATATGTCAAGCCTGGCGACGGCAGCACGGGCAGCAGCTCGCACCAGACATCAAAATTATCGCAGCAGGTCACGGGCTGCAAAACGCTCGGACTCGAGCGAAAAGTGTATTAGAGAACTGCTGGAGCGTCGAACGGGTACGATCCTGGAGCTTCATTTCTGCGATGATGGCAGCCCCGTCTTGGATGCATATCTTTGCCGTTCTTGCCGAGCTCCAGCGCCCACGCAACATGACCTTAGACAAGTCGCCCGACAGCAGGAACTCACGCGTGGCGCCTCCGCGCCTCAGGCTGTAAGGAGACAGGGCGAGGTGCCTGCAACCGATCTGCTGGAGCCCAGTACGGAACAAATCGTGAAAGGCGCGCGTCGTGCCAGGCCAGAGCCGGCTGTCACGCTGGAGCTGCATACGGACGACTGCCCCAACCAGCGGGTCGTCAAGCGTGACTTGTTCCCGCGCGCCCTTCTGGCAAGAGGTCTTGGTCCAGGGCAACGACACCACGCCTCGGCCGCAGGGCTTCAGAAAGATGACGCCGCCGCTCAGCCCCAACGCCTCGCCAGTGCGGAGACAAAGATGGAAGGCCACGAGCAGCACGGCCGCGAAGGCTACCTCTCCGCGGCTGAGCGCCCAACCGGCGAGCGCCGTGCAGACCTGTGCAGGCATCGGCGGCGCGCGCTGGGGGATCTCCAGTCTGCCCCAGACTGTCAGCAACTGCCAAGCGCCAGGATAGCGGCGTCGTGTCCTCAGCAGGTGCTGCACGCCGCTGAGGGTGTCATTGGCTTCTCCTTTTGTGGCGCCCTCGGCCCACAAGTGCTCAAGATAATCTTGCAAGCAGATATCAATATCGTCCCAGGTGAAAGGCAGCGACAGGTTATTGGCAGCAAGGTAGTCAACAAAACGCTGAGCGGCGCCACGGTAGCGGGCCAGTGTCGAGGCCTTTATCCTGGCGTCTCTCAGCTTCCCCAGTCCAACTCTGGCGGCGCGGCGGTCAGCAGGGCTACTCCGCTTCTTACCCATCGCGGAGACGCGAGGGGGCGTCCGCGGGGTTGCGAGCCGACGACGTGAAGCCGAAGACCGCCCGCGCGCCCATCGCAAGCTCCCACGCCGAGAAAGTTCGCACCACCTTGTTGAGCTGAGGACTGCTGGAACGGTGCTTGGACAGCGCACCGATGTTGACCATGCTGTCGTGCAGGTGCAGGAAGACGCACTGATGGCGGCGCACCGACCGCGCCCGCCATCGAATCATCATCAGCGCGCCCTGGCACTCAAGAACGTTGATGTGCTCTGCTGCATCCCACACTAGCTGCCTTGCCTTGCGCCACCGCCAAATGCCTGAGTCGATCTCCTGCCGCGGGAAGATCTTGCCGAGCGCCTCCGAAGCGCCATCGGTCCTGATGTCTGCTCCGTTGTTGTGGCACGCCATGACGAGCCCCATGACGATGCGTCTGGACGCGTCCAGCTCGCGCCACTCCACCACGTCACGCTTCGCCAACCCCGCCAAGAGGATGTCGGCATGGCACGCCCGGTCGGGCCCACAGTGACAGACCAGTAGGCCCCGCGCAGCGTCTCCAAGCTCTGCAGGAGGGTGGGCTGCGTGCGGATCCAACCAGCGAACAGGGCAACAGCGTCCTCGCGTGACCGCTCGGGGCTGATCGTGAAAGGGTTGCCCCACCGCGAGGCAGCCAGCCCCCAGCGGCGAGACCCACGACCCACGTAGATGGGCCCGCCAGGCTGGTCCAGCATGGCGTGCAAGCCCTCGTCGATCTCCGAGCGACCGCACCGCAGCGACGTCACGTCGCCGGCCCACAGCTTCCTGCCACCAGCCCAGGCTCGCGCACTCTCGCGCAGCTCACCCAGCGAGGGCACCGAGACCAGCAGCCCAGCTCCGACGGCCCAGTGGCTGATGATCCAGGCCACGACCTCGCACTGGAAGGAGTTGCCCACGAGCGACCGCCGAAG